ATATTCTACATCCCTGATGGAAGACCTGAATGACATGTCAAAAGCTGCCAGGTCTTTTCTTTTTTTTCAAGACAGCAAATTTAGGTAGCACAATGAGGTCTGTTGACATTGACGAGGCTAAATGTCAGGGCTGCCAAACCCACACATCACCTCTGCTCGTGGCTCGGCAGCATCCGTCGTTTTCTAAAAAGCAACTGTCGTTTTGGTGTTGTGGCCCCGGAAGGCTTCAACAAGGCTGTTTTTGCAGTTTTCTTTGCAAGCGTCAGTAAAACTGAGCTGCAATTTCACTTAAAGAGGCCTTTATGGTACTTACGGCTGCTGCCCAGCTCCTCGAATAGATACTGCACCTTCTCCCACTGAGTGGAGTTCCGGTTTGGCGGAGATTCCAACGGAACAAATGTCCTGCAACAGAAGTTCAAAATTTCTCAATCATAATGTCATGATTTATATCCTACTGTTTAAAAGTTTGGAATTGGTAAGAGTTCAAATTGTCGGGGGATTTTTTTTAAATATGCTTATCTAGGCTGATTTTCTGTAAAGTTGCTTTGCAACGATTTGTATCGTGAAAAGCGCTATACATATAAACTTGAATTGAATTGAATTGAATATATTCTGCATGACCATATTCTACATCCCTGATGGAAGACCTGAATGACATGTCAAAAGCAGCCAGGTCTTTTCTTTTTTTTCAAGACAGCAAATTTAGGTAGCACAATGAGGTCTGTTGACATTGACGAGGCTAAATGTCAGGGCTGCCAAACCCACACATCACCTCTGCTCGTGGCTCGGCAGCATCCGTCGTTTTCTAAAAAGCAACTGTCGTTTTGGTGTTGTGGCCCCGGAAGGCTTCAACAAGGCTCTTTTTGCAGTTTTCTTTGCAAGCGTCAGTAAAACTGAGCTGCAATTTCACTTAAAGAGGCCTTTATGGTACTTACGGCTGCTGCCCAGCTCCTCGAATAGATACTGCACCTTCTCCCACTGAGTGGAGTTCCGGTTTGGCGGAGATTCCAACGGAACAAATGTCCTGCAACAGAAGTTCAAAATTTCTCAATCATAATGTCATGATTTATATCCTACTGTTTAAAAGTTTGGAATTGGTAAGAGTTCAAATTGTCGGGGGATTTTTTTTAAATATGCTTATCTAGGCTGCATTTATTTGATCAAAAATACAGTAACACAGTTTTATTGTAAAATATCATTACAAAAAAAATTGTTCTCTATTTTAATCTATTTTAAAATGTAATTTATTACTGTGAAGGCAAAACTGAATTTCTAGTCTAGTCTTCAGTGTCACATGATCTTTCAGAAATCATTCCAATATCTTTCTAATAAATCTCTGACACTCAGTGGCTACATACACACTGCAACATAACATGGTTGTTAGTGTTACTCCAAAAAAAAAAGAAAAAAAGACACATTTATGGCCAAACAGCAAACACAATCTCTTCAATTAAACAAACAAGTGATCAAATTACAATAGCATAATATGCATTTTATAAGGCAAATACATGAACACATGAATATACAAATTCAAATATATTTTGGTTTCTAAACCATCTGTTTGTATTGGTCAGCTTAAGAGTTGTGGTGGCACATCCAATAAAAGTTACATTTGAAAATATCACTAAAATACATAATTTATTATGAAAGCAAAGCATCAAGATAAAAAAGTTTTGCTATACAATGTATTATATAAATTAAACAGAAATATATTTAATGTCTACAGTTAAAAATAATATTTATTTGTTTTATAAAATTTAAAGGGATATCATTTTATTAATTTTTTATTAATGTATCTGGAGTAACATTCCGATTAACATGGGGGGGTGACCACCTTAATGTTGAATATATCTTTTTCTAGGCCACTGAAGAAAAAGTAGGAATTTTTATCTTATGTGAGTAATAAATCATTTAAAAACATTTCTTCCAAATGTATTGTACAACTTTAAGTGGAGCACCTTTACCCAAAAGGAAAATTGTTGTCTTGCATATATGTATGTCTGTGGCTGACGGCACGAGTGTGTTTACTGTGAACTATCATGTAGAGATCCTTGTATACAGCTCATGTGATGTACCGCCGCAAGCTTTAAAAGCAACTGAGGATACAGTATGCTCACATTCTGAGTAAATATCTGCAACACGAAGAAAGCCAGTCATCTCCAATGAGGAGAACATCACTCACAAGGTGAGGTTGCATAAGCAAATACCTCAGGCTACAGCTGGTCTAAAAAAAAATCCCATGTTTTAACCATAAGGTTCAGTTTTAGTCTGTATAAACTCTATAATTGGTATGTCCAGAAATTATAACTGACATACAGTATTGGGGGGTAACACATTACAAGTAATGAGAGTTTTGTAATCAGATTAATTTTTACAAGTAACTAGAAAAGCAACGCATAACTTTTTCAACAAGAAAATATCTGTTACTTTTTTCAAATAAGTAATGCACGTTACCTCTACTGTCCCCGTTTTGAGAGAAATTTAGAGTGAGAAGCAAAGGCAGAGGCACTTCATTCAGCCTGAGGCTTATTAATTTCACTTTTAGTATGAAAGGGCCTTTACAGTTGCCAAAAAATTTATAAGCAGGAAATTAATAAGCAAGCCCAACTCAGATGACAAAAAGTAATGCAAAAGTAATGTAATGCATTACTTTCTATAAAAAGTAACTAAGTAACACAATTAGTAACTTTTTAATGTTGTGATGCAACATTATAATGCATTACTTTTAAAAAATAACTTTCCCCAACACTTCTTATATATACAGTACGACTCTTTCCGACCACTGCTTATCCCCCAAAAATTAATCAATAAATAAATACAAAATAAAAAAAATAAAATACAGTTGCCAATAACAAACCAGGTTAATGGCGCAAATATGCAATTCAAAAAGGCAAAAATTAATAAGAACATATAAATTAGGAAAAATGTAATGACTATTAAATGTCTGACACTAATGAATAAAAAAATCATTAGGGCTGCACAGCTAATCAAAATAATCAAAATATATATAATGTAATAAAGTGTGCACATGCTGTTTATTATTATTATTATTATTGAGGTACTTATAAGACATTTTAGCATTAATAATAATAAACTGCATGTTCACCCTTATATTTATATTATAAAATAAATACCATTCATTGGGTCTATTCATCCTGTTTCATTCATCCTGTTTGTTTGTCTGAACATCTAAGCAACAATATTGGATGTTAAATGTCACAATATGAGACAAAATAATCATGCAGCCCTAAAGGACACACATAATATCTACGGTTAACATCCAATCAGCAACTTCAGAAGCCAAAAGGGCCACATTCAAATCACAACAGATGCGAATGGCCACAAAATAGGGTCACTTTGATTTTAAATGCAGCCACATCATTCAGCATCACTGGCATAATCTGAGCGAGTTCAATTGACGTGTCACTTCAGAAAAGCTGCGTCGTGCATGAAAATGTCATCTTTTAGGGGTGTCAGTAAATTACGTTGTAAACTATACGCACAGCAGGACGCAGTTAAATAAATCGACCAAGGATTCCGTGAGGGTTTATGCAAAGGTACACAAGCTCAAAGACTTTACACGTATATGACCTTTGTATCCACTTTCCCTGTCGTTTTTCATCATCAATTAAGGTCCAAAATCCTATGTCGGCCAAACTTACTGTATATAGTTAACTTTCACTCTGCCATTTAAATGATATCGCATTAGAAACTAAATTAAAAACGCACAGCCAAATTTGTAAGCAACGATTGGTGGCTAATTGCAGGCTAATAGCCCAAATACGATCCGTTGACTAAGGATCTGTCACGGATGTCCTCATGAGCAATCTTTTGAAACCTAAAATAACAAATGGGACACTTTGTGGTCTCGTGGACTTCACAGACACGCAGTAGAGAAAGGCCACGTGAATGCAGGTCCACATAAAGACGTCCATTTGGGACAGGGCCCATGTGTCTGGAGCTTAGACCAAGTATGGCATTGATAGAGTGCACTTAGAGCTCTCCAGACATTTCGACGGGTACGAGAGATTGAATGGGACTACAGAGGCTGGGAAGGGTCAGCTCTCCATTTATAAGTCCCATCCTTAGCACAGACCAATCAAAATAGGCAAACAAAAAGAAGTCACTCTCCAAATGAACAATCCCAAACACAGGGACTCTGCGTCTCACAAAGCCAACACGTCCTCCCACATCAGGAACCCTGAGACACAATACTCTTGGTAAAATACTGCACTGGTTCAAAAGGTAAAATGAACACCAAATTGCTTCTGTCCGAAGTGCCATCCCCACTTTTAAATTTGGTCCACGGCATGTCCCTCTTCCCATTCTGTGATCAAAGTAACCCATCCCACTGGGTCTATACGACATGAAGGTGTGATGAAGGTATCCTGCCCCACAGGAACACTATTTAATGGTTGAGAGCCACCTGGTGAGCAGACGTGTTATTCTTGCAGCGGCAAAGAAAATCCATTATGTTTATGCTGCACGAGCACTGCTGAGAACAAAAAATATAAACTCGAGGTTAAACGCGACAAAGCCATGCCATGTAACTATAAACATTTAGACTGCATGTTGGTTTTTAGTTCGGTTAACAATTGTAACACGGCTTGATAAAAAAAAAATTCTTACAAGGTCTTGAAAATTGCCAAGTTTAGAGATGCTAGATAATTTGACTTTGCCTTCGGAGCTTGTTATTTACAGCACCACCTTTGGTTCATTGTGCAAAAACTATACCAAAGACATGCTATTTCAAAGTGATACCAAATATAGTCTTTATTCCAATGTTTCAGCAATAAAAAGTATTGCTTATTAACTACAAATAATTACTTTTGTCAGCATAAAGCTTCTATTTTACGTCTGTAATCTGACAAATTACAGGATATACAATGAGAAAAAACATCAAGACATCTATCAAGAATCGTCTGAATCATAAAAATGCGGGTGGTTTTGGGTTGATGCGATTTTTATTTATTTATTTATTTATGTTTTTGAAGGTCTCTTATGCTCACTTAAGCTGCATTTATTTGATCAACAATACAATAAAACAGTAATATTGTGAAATATGATTTAAATTTAAAATGTATTTCCTGTGATGGAAAACAGAAATTTCAGCAGCCATTATTCCAGTCTTTGGTGTCACATTTCTTGTATTTACAGTATCTCACAGAATTGAGTACACCCCTCACATTTTTTTAAATATTTTATTATATTTTTTCATGTGACAACACTGAAGAAATTACACTTTGCTACAATGTAAAGTAGTGAGTGTACAGCTTGTATAACAGTGTAAATTTGCTGTCCCCTCAAAATAACTCAACACACCGACATTAATGTCTAAACCGCTGGCCACAAAAGTGAGTACACCCCTAAGTGAAATACACAATCTCTCCTTCGGTAACAAAGATTCAAAACTGAAACATTTCAAATGACACGGGAAAAAGACACTAGGGCTGCACAATTAATCTCGTCAGTAAAGCCGGTTCTGTGATTAGTAGTAAATCGCCATCACCTGCTTTTAGATGGAGCGGCATTTACTATACAAAGCCGTAGTTCACTGACAATTAGGCAATATCGCGTTCATAGTCGCAGATGAATCGCATTCGATTATGAACGCGATATTGCCTCGCTTGTAAGTGAACTACGGCTCTGTGTGTTAAATGCCGCTCCATCTGAAAGCAGGTGATGGCGATTTACTACTAAGCACGGAACCAGCTTTACTGACGAGATGTGCATGACAATCGCATGCGATTAATTGCACAGCCCTAAAAGACACGGAAAACTTCAGTGAACATCAGAAAAGCAGCGTGCACATTTCTGGTTAAAAATCAAAGGCCATCAACTGACAAACGGGAAGCATCACCATTCAAGTCAGCAGCAACAGCCAAAGCTAGTCCACAGTTTATTAAACGGTGGCAACCTCTAAGTTATTCTTGACTGTGTCGGATTGACTGCTTTGATGCAATACGGTAGGGCATTGTTTTGATGCTTACGTATATATATATATATATATATATATATATATATATATATACACTGTATATATATATGGATGGATGGATGGATGGATGGAACTTGAATAGTAGTGTACCAGAATGGAGATAGTTGAGAAGTGGAGCAAGAAAAGACCACAAAGACTAATATTTATATTTGGAATAACCTGCACTCAGGAATCATGCACAATAAGATCAGGAACAAGTATAAATAGGCTTAATTTTGAGTTTATGTTAACATTAATTTGATGTCCTGCAGTAGATTTTGAGCTCTCTGGAAATAAACTGTGTATCTTATTTACTTTGGAATATATTGATTTTAGTCTGTTAGCAGAAACTACTGATTCAAAATTGTTCAAATTACTGGTTCCGATCTAAGTTTATTGACAATCATTCATAATTTGGCTAGAGCCCTTTGTATTCCAAATTATGCAGAAATCCCCCAGAAATGTAATATTATCAGCATTTGATGTGCGCCCAGTAGAGATATCGCTCTACTAAACTAATAATGGCTACTCAGATTATAGCTACAGTTTGTTCTCCAATTCCACAAAGGTAATCTTAGTACAAAATCATCAAATACCAGTTATTATCAGCATTCTGTCCAACAATTTCCCAGTATTCTCACACCTGCTGTACCCCCGATGGAGGTTAAAGATGATGAGTGAATGATATAATAATGCTCACATCGACCACTCCACACACACATGGACACACACACACACACACACACACACACACACAGAGAGAATACTATAATCCCACAAATTGCACTTACCCAATCAAAAGCAGCGCTGAACACACAATCACAAATCCTATTGTATACTTCAGTGCATTTTTCACTTGCTGTAATGAGAGAATAAAAAAACAGGTATATCAAACTGTATTCATCAAGTCATCAATCCATGATAAATTACGCTTCATTACATATTTGCAGCACTTAACAGTCAGGAACACAGTGTCCCTAGTTCATTCTCTGATGCAGACATTGTGGCTCTGTTCCAAAACCTGAGCTAATGCAGTGTCCTAACTGAAATGGAACTTTACAAGTGACCAATTTGGAACATTCTATATTAAATGAGCAACTTTGTGCAGCTTACAAACAGCAGTGATAACATTAAGTGCATGAGAGATTCAACTAGTAATTGAGTTCATTAGTTTGGCATTAGCTTGTTTGCAAAACTAAAAATGTGATACTCAAATAAATGTAACTAACATAGTAAAATAAGCAAAAATGCACAAAAAAAAGTGTACAAACAGTATAAATAAATAAATCAAATATTGGGTGAAACAGTACATTTAATTAGACTCATTTTTAAAACTTTTTTTAACTTTTTATTTTTATTCCTATACATTAATATATAATCTAATAAATATAATATAATATAAAACGTCATGTATAAAGATAAACAGTAGGGATCAAATTACTAACAGGCACATATTAAATAAAAATCCTTATTTTTCCATTGAGCATGCCAAAGGCAACCAAATGCAATTACAAAATTACAGTGGGGTTCAATTATAGCAAGAATCAATTCAAGCAAATATTAGTTAGACTCTATATATATATTATATTATCTATAAATGTAAATAATAAAAAAAGTAATAATTGTATAGTACACACTAGTACAATTATACATGACAGATTAAAAGGAATGAACACAAATCAAAAAAGTGAAACTTAAAATAAAATAAACTCTCTTGCTTCAACCATTATCTTGGATGGATTTTTTTTTCCCCAAAGCATGTCACAATGCATTATAGGTTTGCATTATCCATGAAGGACATATGCAATTCTGGTCAAAACTAAGCAAAAAAAAAAGGCAGCATAATCATCCTTCCTCCCTTTCAGGACAGTACCTATGATGCTTTGAAAATGCTGCCTATGTAGGAGGCTCAATAGTTCTGGAACGAAGCCACTTCTAAGTGTTTGAAAGGAGAAGAAGGAGTGGAAAGTTTGGAAAGAGATCTTAATAACTTCTACAAGATGGAGGAAGCTCCTCAGCATGCAATTTTGCACATCACTGTGGCGTCCTTTGAGAGAAATATTTGACATTTGAAGTGAGCAGCAATATAGTGAGTAGGATGTGTTTTCGTCACTTTATTACCTCAATGCAGTCAAATCTCTTGCAGATGGAGTCTAGGTGAACTCACTGGCTTATTATAAATGAACTGCCATAACTGTAATCAGGCAAATATCACTTAGCAATACCTCAAGGGCATTTGTATGATTAATGCTAACTCTTCTAACCGCAGACAGCAAGCCTTGCTTTACATCCTAGTATAGTACACACTATTTATTGAGTACAAATAGCTTAACGTAGCTCTTTTCCCACCTAGTTTTTCACTGTGTGTGTAAATTATCCCTGTAAGGCTGAAAAGGCAATCTGTTTCAGAACGCATGGGTGTACTGGAAAAACAGGAAGGAGTGTGAGATTTACCAAGCACTTGTTGCTGTTGTCTTCATCTTTCTCCTCGTAGTAGAAATACACAAAGGGGATCCAGAGGAAGACGCAGAACAGAATGATGGAATACAGAGCTGTGAAAGAGAAAAGATGGACAGTTACACACCTGGAGCACTCTCAACAACCAGGATCCACATTAAATACAGCACATTATGCATGATGTGTTTAGATGTCAAAGGGTCAATGACATAGCACTCATTTTGTGACCAGATGTATTAAAAAACATAAAAAATGCAGTTTGTACACATGACGACCTATGCCTCCCCTATTATGAATTTTTTTTTATTATGAATAAAATTTGGCGTGTCAAAAAGTTAAAAATGTCAAGATTGTTTAAAAAAAATCGAATTATAGGTTACAATTTTTAAAAAATCTTTTATTATTATAATAATTTATAAAAGGAATGAAAAGCAGGAAGCAGTTTCGAAAATACTAATATTTCATATATAAAAAATTATATATTAAAATATATATATATAATATATTAATATATATATATATATATATATATATATATATATATACATACACTAATATTCTAATATAAAAAATATTTATAATTTTGACAAATATTTTTTTAAATGTAATACATATGATTACTCCCTGCTTACAACACATTTGTTAAATCTAAATCTCTGTTGAAAACAGTATAAGAGTGTTAGTTTGTTTTTGTTTGTTTACTTTAAACGATTTTATAAGATGGATGTGTGAAGAGGACAGCAGAGTGCCTTTCTGTCGGGTAAAACACAAATGTTTTTTAACAGCAGGCGAGGAGGAAAACAGAGCAGCAACAACATTTCAAAATAAAAACATAATGGGATGAAAACAGTTATTGTTATTGCTTCATGAGCCCCGCGGCTGATTTTGCCAGCTGTTCGTGTGCTTTTCAAAACTTAATTTTATGATTTTTGCACTTTTTCTGGATTACTGTGAGGGATTCGGTCATATGGCTCTTATCCGTGAGTTCAGTGGATCAAAGCTGCTCATACAGATAAACTCTGCACTCTCACACACTCTCGCTACAATTTACCTTCTCTCAGTTTTGTTATATTTCTGCACAGTTTTGCGTGATTAAAGAATTTCTCATGGTTTTGAGTATTTGTGTAAAGCTTTCAAGAGGCTCAACCCATCCTGTATCCTCTTGTATCTTGTGTTCTCAAGGCAAACCACATGCATCAAACTCTGGACCAATCCAAGGCACCCGGAATCAATTTGCTGCTATTAGAAATACAATAACAGTTTAAATTGTATCTGTCAGGAATGTCTGTTTGGTGTTTGCCAAGGCAAACATCCCTGTTTCTGTAGCATATACTTGGGTTTTGAGTCCGTTTATGTAATGGACACGAGTGATACAGCAAATCATGCGGCTTGCCCATGTGTATCACTGCTAGAGAAAATTAATACGATCAATATTTTTACTGGTATTCATAGTTTTCTACATAATCAGTTATTGGTTTCAGCCACTTGGATTGCAACAAAATGCATAAATGCATAAATAAATACAATTTGAATTTATATCTACAGTATGTTCTTTACAACTTTTTTATTTTTTGACAAACTCAAAAAAAACTTTAAGATAAATAAAACATAAATAACAGCAATAATAAGTAATTACAATATGGATGTACAGATAGATGGAACAACTGAATAACAGATGACAGAGAAAACGATAGATAGTCAGATAGAACAACAGAACAATCAATAGACCATTAGCACTAGGATTAATTCAATTCAATTCAATTCAATTCGTGTATTTGTATAGCGCTTTTCACGATACAAATCGTTGCAAAGCAACTTTACAGCAAATTAAGTTTCTACAATATTTAGTGGTAGCTTATCAGTGGTGACTGTCAGTTAACGTACATATGGCAGAAATGTACGGAAAAATCAATTAAAGACGTAATCAATTAAAGAAGTAATCACTAGAACAATAAAATTAACACTAGAACAATAAAATGTTAAAATGATAGATTGACAGAGGGTCATTCCATGTCAACTCAACCAGAGGTCCCCCGGCTCAAATTTCTGATTTTGCTAATATTTTTTTCTGAAGAAATATGTATGGTAATGAAAGCCAAAATATTAAATGTCGTGGATGAATATTTACTGAGTAATCCACTATTTTGTAGAGGGGGGGGGTCAAAATTTTCACCTGACATTCAGAGCCAAATTACAGGGGTGTAAAAATGACTTCAGAAAAATCGCAGCATCATAATGTTATTTTTACACAGAGATAAGTAGGTCTGTTAGTAAAATCTGTTGACTTTAGTAATCTTTGTTGCATTATATGCCAATGGTGACCATTCAAAATGGGGTAAAAGCACTTTTCAAGTTTTTTCTCCAAAGTGTGTATGCCTGTAACTCAAGAAGTTTTAAAGATATCTTAATGCCTTTTAAATATTGGGTCTTAAACGGGACGGACGGACGGACGGACAGATAGATAGAACAGTGAATATGCAGTCGTCTTGATTTTGCCACTCTCCCCCCTGCACTGATGGTAAATACCTCCATATTGTGTTTGTTTGGCAGATTGTGAGCAAGTGAAGAACCTCTAATATGCGGTAGGATAACACCGCTAGGCATTAAGAATTCATGAGAAGGAGGTGAGGAGCAGACACTTACAGGGGCTATAAAGCTATTTTAGGTTGGAGGGGGATATCTACAGCTAATGGACGTCTCTGAAGACAGGCCCAGTAAACCCAAAATAACTCCTGACCAAGACTCGCATGGCTGAATGCTTTTTTGAGGTGATAACATGATTCATTAGCATGATTCAAAACGTGAAACCAAAAAAGAAAAAAAATCAGACAATCATGACCACGGCAGACACTTTGGTATATAGGTTACTCGCAGCATAGATCTCTTTTACACACTAAACTCCTCCTAATAATCCCAAAGAGTTCTAATTAATACAAATGAAGCAGACAAAAGAAAATAAATCCAATTTGTCCCCCCTCACAAACCACATTGTGCATCTTCGTTAATTCTGGGCACCTGTAGTGAACTAAAGCACTGAGAGCATACTGGTTAAATACACAACATGCTGTGGAAACGAGGGCCAGTAAATGTGAAAGTGAAATGTCAACATTTCAGTGACAGCAATTACAGCTCCTGGTGAGATTATGGCTGCTTTGGTTCGCTGTATTGTTTTAAAAATGCTGCATGAAACATTCATCTTGAATTACACTTTATATTTCATGTTGAAGTGTAACTGCTTTCGTCTAACCACAGGCAAATTCTCTGAGAAGGTTTCACCATGCAAACTGTCTAACAGATAAAGCACAATACACTGTCAGCATGCTAATTAAAGCACAGCTGAAAAAATATCAATAGTAAAATAAAATAAAAAAAACATTTAAAAAAAACAATCTAGACCTAACTAATCATCTATTTGGTTGTTGGATTTGGGATTAGTAAAGTTTTTTAATATTTTTGAAAGAAGCCTCACTAAGGCTGCATTTATTTGATCGAAAATACAATAACAATTTTATATTCTGCAATATTATTACAATTTAAAATAACTAATTTCTATTTTAATATATATTCAAATGTAATTTCTTCCTGTGATGGCAAAGCTGGATTTTTAGCAGCCATTACTCCAGTCTTCAGTGTCACATGATCCTTTAGAAATCATTCTAATATGCTGATTTTGCTGCTCAAGAAACATTTCATATTATTATCAATGCTGAAAACAGTTGTGCTGCTTAATAATTGTGCAGTAATAATGTTTGTATTACATTTTTTCAGGATTATTTGATGAATAGAAATTTCAAAAGAACTGAATTTATTTGAAACAGAAACATTATACGTGTGTTTACAGTAACATCTTAGAATAAGAGTCATAATTTATTTTTAAAATTATATGTATTTAATTTATCTATCTAGAATACATATTCATCTTACACATTCATCTCATGTCTTATCAACTAAAGAGACTCTTACATTAACTTTAACATCAACAATTCTCAGTTTATTCATATTTCATAATGAAGAGTATTATGTTGTAATGCCTAAATAAATTCACTTAACACAACATTAATTTGACATTGAAATTATAAATGATTGATTTCAATTTTTAGTGGTAGATTTTTTTCATACATCTATAGTGCAGTTCATCTCCATTTGCTTCTAAATAAAGTCATTACTGCACATCAAATATGGATAACATGGACATAAGACAAAGCAGGATTGCATTTATTTCAACAGGTCATCATTCTGGCAAAAACAATGAACTGTTTGCCTACAGGCACTGAAGCAGAACCATCCAATGCTAGTGGCACACATTGCAGCACTGCTCTCTGTCCCTAATCTTTGAGCTTGTGGCACCCAACCAGTGGGTAATATTAATCATAACAACATGAATATTAACGTGGTGAGGGAATAGGCTGCACTGCATTACTGCAGATCATCCATTTCAATCTAACCAGATATAATGGGAAAGCACCTGACTGGGGAGAAAAGTTTAGCATATTAATCCCCCTGACAAAGAGAAGAGGGAGCTAAATAATTTAACAACCAACCTCGGTCCTGCGCTAAGTTCTAGCTCCCTTAGCACTGCAGCGATCCCCCCTACTTTTCCAGCTAAAATTGTTATAAAAAAAAAGTTATAAAAGTAAATTTTTAAAAAGTTATAGAAGTTTAAATTTAAGAAAATATAAAAAATAGATATATTTTTTATATTTTATATAAAATAGCGATTTTACAAAACACGTTTACCTCCAAATCTTCAAGAAAATCAACGTCAATCATCTGAACAAGTTCTCTGCCAAATTTTAGGTTGACATCTCAAAAATGAACTTTTAAGTTTGATTTTGTGGATGCAGTACCAAACTTTTCCACTAGATGATATACAGGGACTCTTGATTTCCATTTATTTTTTGAGTGTTCTGAACCATATATTTCCATAATTTTCAAAATATTTATGAAGTAGACATCCTATTCAGAAATAGTTTGGGCAGTAACTTTAATATTTGATTTGAATTCAATCTCTAAAACACATAAAAACATAAGCATAGAATAAGAGTGTGTTTGGCGCCATATCACAAATGGAGAATTTATCGCTATTTATCTATTG